AGAATACACAGGAGGCTCAAGAAAATCAGAAAGCTGATCGAGAAGCAAAAAGAGCAGCCATGGAACCAATGGAAACCATAACTGCCACACCTCTCCTCCCTTGGATGCCAGAAGTCAGCCCAACATATTCACAAGGGAAAAAGAGTGGCTGCAACAAGAAGGGGCCAAGCAGGATAAAACTGGGTGGCAGCACCTGCCCTAAGGTAGAATAGTAATCCCTGGATTACTGGTCCCTTCCCTGATCAGCACTTTCCACTCAGACACTCATTTGGGCTGGGAGGCCACGGAACAGCTGCTGGGAAAGTATTTCTACATCCTTAGACTTGCAACACTCACCAAAAGGGCCAGCCAGTGGTGTGTAACTTGTTCCCAAAACAATCCTCAGCAAGGTCCCTTGCCACCTCCTGGCATCCAGTCTGTAGGAGCTGCCCCTTTTGAAAGCCTGATGGTGGATTTCACTGAGCTACCCAAGAATGGGGGCTATTGCTATCTTCTAGTAATGGTGTGCACCTATTTAGGATGGATGGAAGACTTTCCGACTCGTTCAGAGAAAGCCAGGGAAGTAACACAAATCCTGTCACAGGAAATCATCCCAAGACATGGGCTCCCCCTGTACATAGGATTGGATAATGGACTAGCATAGCAGAAGTAATACAAGATACAGCTCAGGCATTGGGCATAATGGAAATTACACACTACCTATAGGCCCCAGAGCTTGGGCAAAGTAGAACACATGAACAGGACTATAAAAACCGGACACAGCAAGCTATGCCAAGAAGTCCACATAATCTGGCCATAAGCCCTTTCTTTGGTATTGCTAAAAATCAGGTGTTTCCCACAAAAAGCTACAGGATATTCCCCCTATGAAATCATTTTCACCAGACCCCCACCTCCCCTTCATTCCATGCCTGAAACACCCAGGGAAAGGGGTGAGACAGAAGTTAGCAATCACCTGAAAGCACTGGGTATAGTGTCAGCACAGATATTTAAATGGGTGCAGAAAGACTCCCCATAAGCCTTTTTTCCCCCTGTACAGCCACTCCAGCCTGGGGATCACGTGTGGGTGAAGGACTGAAACCTAACCCCCCTCAAACCAAAGTGGAAGGGACCACTTACTGTTATTTTAACCACCCCTTTGGCAGTCAAGGTTGAAGGCATCACTCCATGGATACACCAGTCCAGGATTAAAAGAGCCACACCCAATGACTCTGGTGATTCTTAGAGAATTGAAAACCACCCCCAGAACCCCCTGAAGGTGACTCTGCAACGCGGGAACCACAGACCTACAGTGTCCTGCTCTGGTCACTCTGTGAACTGACTGGTCAATGCATGGCCAAAGCTTGAGTATCTCCCCTCACAAACACCATGATTGTCTCAGGATTTATTACCCTACATCTCAGACTTCACTGTGTATAGATAACTGTTGCTCCTACCTCTGATAATTCATGCACTGAATGTGGCCAAACCACTTGCTCAGGGACTAGAGTCACAGAAACTTTAATATGGCATTGCTATTATAATTGCAAAGGAGAAGTATATTCCTGCAAACACAACCAGACTACTTATTCATACTGCAAAGACACCAAAGTCTGTCAAAACTCTCAATACGACCTAGCTGAACACTGGCTGGAAGTGAGGAGTTTCACCTCAACTGGGCAACTAATCAATAAGACCCGAATTTCCTCCCAGAGTTCCCTGGTCTCAATAATATTCTGTCTGCAGAGCAATCGGTACAGGGAGAACTTGTGGCAATATGAACTGGATCAGGTACTACACACGCAACGGAAATATATATGTCAAGGGGGAAAGCATACGAAAGGAGGTGAGTGTAAAAATCCAAGCCATTACTTATGTCCTGCCTGGATTTGTGTAGTTTGGGCCACTTGGCATTCTGATAAACACCCAGATATAAAGGATGCCTCTCTCAGGAAAGCTGTAACTAAGATTGCACAGGAGACACATGCAACCTGGTTAATGTAACCATTATGAATCCTAGAGAATGGTTTAAGGATGGGCCTAGGGAAGTGGGCTCCAGAAGACGGGACTGGAGCTGACCCTGCTATAATCCTGTCAATCAAACTAACC